TAATTTATGTATATTTTAAAATTAATCTTTTTTCAAATGAATTATACTCTTAAAATTATACTGTATAATTATGCCTAGGCATGAAGGTAGCACTAGTACCTTAAAAAAAAAAAAAAAATTTAAACATACAACCATAAATCCAATGGTAAATGTACCGACAATTAATATTGCCTTCTCTTTATTTTAAGGAAAATGATGTGTGCACACCCGGATCCCACACCCGGGTGTGCACACTCCCTATGAAAAAAAAAAAATGCCCATCACCACCCAGTCCAATTTTTTTTTTTTTTATGTGGGGGTGCACACTCGAGTGTTGGATCCGGGTGTGCACCAATCAAGGTCCTTATTTTAATTATTGCCATTCTTTGTTGCTATGTCCCCCAATTTCATGTAGTCTTTATTGCAAAGCATACCTAGTGGAAACACAAACACTTGACACCCCTCAAGACTTCTTCATCACTTCTTTTAATTAATAATTATGCAATCCTTTTAAGTAATCTTAATTTCCAACTCTGCCTACTTGCTCTTAAATTTTATTTACCTCAATCATCAAGCAATTGACTTTTTGTGCCGGCTACTACTAGTTTGGTATTGTCACCGACGATTTTTGCGATCCTTATTTCCATTAGGCCATCAAATTTGCTAAACTCAAACTCAAATATAAATAATTTTATCAATAGTTTGATCAATAATTTGTTGCAAGTGTTAGATCTTGAAGTCCTAATTGGTTTCTAATATGTACTTCAAAAATTGGGAGACTACTCAGCTAGCTCAGGATATACTACTTTGATCCAACATCAACCCTCACCTTACCGACAAATTTTTGAGAAGATTTGGAACCTCATGATTCCAAGTAAAGTCTATGGGTTCACTTGGTTGCTATTACTTGATAGGATTCCTTCAAAAATTAACTTGTTGAAAAGGGGATTAATTAAGGAGATGGAGGCCACAAATTGTAGTCTTTGTGGACAGAATATGGAAGACAGCAACCATCTTTTTCTCCATTGTCCGGCTACCGCAAAAATCTGGGCAATGTGTTACCAATGGTGGGGCTTCTCTACAGCCATTGCTGGTTCATGTTGGGATTCTTTCATCCAACATGAATCCTTAGTCGCTAAAAGTAATGAACGGCTGGGTTGGGTCACGGTTTTGTTTTCTCTTGTTTGGGCCATCTGGACTACCAGGAACAACTTAATCTTTAGAGGTGGATCATTTGATTCGACAAAGACTTTTGATCAAATTCAGGTTCAAGCCTTCCTTTGGGTCAAAAACAAAGGAAAGGAAGGACGATTCTGTTTCTCTAATTGGATTCTCAACCCCAAATGCTGCAAGATTTTGTAATGAACCTCCTAATGCTGTACTTTCATTTCAATCAGTGCTGATTAATGTATAAGGGATTGAGTACCCCTTGTACTCATTAAACAAAAAAAAAAAAAATCTTTGCCTTTCGAAAAAAAAAAAAACAATGAAAGTTAGTATAAAAATGCATTTTTAAAGAATGAAATTGTAAACCTTATAGCTACAATCAAGTGGTAGAAGAAAATGCTAACAAAAAAATGCACCCATTGTAAACCTCACAGCAACAATCAAGTGATAGAATTGATAAAAATACCATATTCATAAAGGATGAAAGTATGAAACACAATTTTAATGCGCAATGAATTCATGAAAGATCAAAATACATATAATTTTGAAGTCAAATAAAAATGAATTGATTTATACTTACCATAGAGAAAGTCAAACACACACTCTTTAATTACATGTAGAGATTAAGCATCATAATGGCTATGGACAGTTACGGATGTTAGGGGAAAAAAAAAGAGGAAATTTGAGAGAAATGGTTGGGGAATAAATTAATAGTTCTCCTCTTTTGTATAGAGTTGAAGTTGAAGAATGAAGACTACTTGAGATAGAAGGTTGAAAGCAAAATACTTTAATAGTAGAATGAACTTTAAAATTTTAGAAAAACTTTCTCTAAATATCCTACAAACTCAAAAATACTTCAATATTCATGGATTTAACTTAGTACCGGGTAAGGTTTATCCTAAGAAATCCTAGCTTTCAAGGCAACAAGAACTAAATCTACAATTATTTCAGAACCAAAATAGCTGTAAGCAAAACGAAAAAATTCCTACAAACTAATATAAAAGCCAAACCAACACGCATACTCTGAAACCATAACATATATTGAAGACAAACACAAAGGCAGGAAAAAAAAAAAAAGAAGAGAAATCTGACGTGATTTATATGAAGCTATGGTTTCTTAATCACGATGTGATACCTTTGTTTTGCATGTGAAGCAACAATTGAACAAAAGCAATAATTGAATTACCTGCCATCCCAAAATCGTGTATATATTATGAAGTCAAAGGTTAAATAGAGTTCACGGGCTGAAAAAATCACCTAGGAAAGTGTTTGATTGAACTTGAAAAAGAAATGCCTACCATGCATTGTTAAGTCCAGATAATGTGAGCTATTTTCCATGGAAAGTAGAAATACACAATTGTTTTGCATTGGGACGGGTCAAGTTGTAATAATGTGGTAGTAATTCTAACTTATATTAAGCCATTGTAGATTTGACGCTCAATAACTTCTGCAATTGTAGACCAACTAATTGTATAAATAATATGAAAAATATAATTCTAACAATTTTCCTTACCAAGGAAACAAGAGAAAAGAGTAAAACACAACACTTTAAAATTTTGAACAGATTATTTGTCACATTGTTGCTGCTCCTAAACAAAAATGGCCAAATTAAACTCCGTGGAAAATAATAATAATAATAACTACCGAAATCTGGTGCAAAATGCCACCGAAAAAGTATCATGAATTCAACTACACCTAACAGATGTGTACAACTTCAATTTTCTTAAATTTGCGTGGCATTGCATTAAGGAGGATTTCATCAGTTTTTTCTCGGAGTTCCACCGAAATGGCAAACTGGTGAGGGGCCTAAACTCTTCTTTTTTGGCTTTGGTCCCTAAAAAACTAAATGCTGCAAATTTAAAGGAGTATAGACCCATTAGCTTGATAGGATGTGTTTATAAATTATTAGCGAAGGTTTTG